ACACACACACACACACAGGAGGAGGAGCAGCTGGCAGGACAGCAGGAGCCAGAAACAGACAGAACCAGAGAGAGAGACAGTTCATAGTGCTTTTAATACACTCCAGTCCTCTACAAACACGCACTGAAGCTCCTACACACCTGCACACACCTACACAACACTCTTACGTGAAGCGGCCCACACACACACACACAGAGCGCAGATCTTATGTAATCATAACATGTGGGCTGCGACACACATCATCTTAAACGAGCTGTGCAACACACTTCATCTATTATATTACATTCAGAGTGAATCTCAGGCGCTGATGACTTCTGTGAACCGCATTCGTAAGACGATTGCCAGAAGACAAACATGTTCTTTCACAAATCTCACCTACATCAGATCAGAGATGATTCAAATCACAGAACCACCTCTGATCTCTGACTTTAGAGCATTTTAAAGCACATGGCTCATCATCTCATTCACATTTACATCTGTTCATTTAGCAGGCACTTTTACCCAAAGTGATGCACAAACGAGGAACATCACAGATCATTTATCAGACAGGAGCTAACAAGATTTGCAATGCTCAGCTCTACTCATCACATCTCCTCTCACCTCACCGCATCACATCTCATTTGACCTTTTCTCTGACTGTCTCCATTTTTTCTGACCATCACATCTCTAATCATGTCATGCAATCATGCTTCATGCCTCATCACATCTCATCATAATATCTCAATTCTGTTTATCACCGCTCATTTCTGACAATCACATCTTTTCTTTGGTTAATCTCAAGTCAGTATGCTTCATCATCTCATCCCTGATCATAACATCTCATCTTATTATCACATCTCATCTCTGATCATCTCCCATCGGATTATCATCTCTCATCTCTGATTGTAACATCTCATCACTGACCATCACGTTGCATCTGATTATCACATCGCATCTCAGATCACATCTCATGTGATTATCACATCCCATCTCTGATCATAACCTCTCTTATACGATTAGCATTTTTCATCTCTGAATGTAACATCTTATCTCTGACAATCACATTGCATGTGATCATCACATCTCATCTCTTCCTCTCATCTTACCTCATCACGTTTCATCTGATTATCACATCTCACCCCTCATCAATAATATCTCATTTCTGATCTTCTTATTTTATCACATAATATCTTACCTAATCTATTTGTTCAGAAAATAATAACACTGTAAAATCGTAACATCACATCTCTGACCATAACATTGCATTTAATTATCACATCTCATCTGATTATCATATGGCATCTCTGATTGTAACATCTCATCTCTGATCATCTTTTCTCACTTCATTAAGTCTTACCTCATCATATCTCATCTCTCATAACATCTCAATTCTGTTTATCACCACTCATTTCTGACAATCACATCTTATCTTTGGTTATCCTACTTAATGTCAAGTCATCATTATGCCTCATCATCTCATCCATGATCATAACATCTGGTCTGATTATCACATCTCATCTCTGATCATAACATCTCATCGGATTATCATCTCTCATCTCTGATTGTAACATCTCATCACTGACCATCACACTGCATCTGATTATCACAACTCATCTCAGATCACATCTCATGTGATTATCACATCTCATCTCTGACCATAAACTCTCTTATCTGATTAGCATTTTTCATCTCTGAATGTAACATCTTATCTCTGACCATCACACTGCATCTGATCATAACATCTCAGATCATCAGATTATATATATACCAGTCATAATATCATCACATCTCATCTCTGACTCATCTCTGGAGATCTCACTATCACTTCATCTCGTATCATCTACTATTCTCTGTGATTATCGAGTGTTTTGCAAACCCTCAAAGGGGTCGTGAGCTGAACTCAGTTCTGAGAGAAACTGTGCCGTCTGAATATGTGACTGGAATCTAAAGCCGTTTCTCTTCATAATGTTCTGAGCACCAGAGCAATCAAAACAAACCTGCAGGGGCTTCTCGACCTCCACAAAATACTTCATAAACATGACTCCTCATAAACTCTATATATGAATATGAGAGAGGGATGTGGGCGTGTTTGTGTGTGGAGGCTCCGCCCCTCTCACCTGTGTAGTCGTGGAGACACTGGCAGGTGAAGCCTCCCTCGTGGTTGCGGCAGACGCCGTGAGCGCCGCAGGGTTTGGAGTAGCACAGGTCGATCTCCGTCTCGCAGTAGTCGCCCGTGAAGCCGAGCGGACAGCGGCAGCGCAGCCCTGCGATCGGGTGGATCGGCCGGAACAGGATGGTGTCGGACGCCACGAACGGCGCCAGGCTGTCGAACTTCAGCACGGATACGCACTTCATGTAGTTCTCACACGGCTCACGCAGGCAGATGTTGTCGTCGAACGGGAGCACCTCCTGCAAAAAAACAACAACTTAAGGGTGTAACGGTACACAAACATGACGGTTCGATACGAAGCTCGGTTTTGACGTCACGGTTCGGTATAGTGCAGCAGGAGGAAAAAGCTAAACATAACTTGCTTCTTTTTTTAATTAAACAATGGTTTACTGAACAAATAGCTCTTTCTTTAAATAAATTCAATTGGAATTTGTATTTTCTTAGGGATACAAATCTACCTCAGCTTCTCTGAACTACAGGGAGCACTTTTACATTACTATACATTTACAATAAACAACAGAGCCCAAACTTAAATTCAATTACTATTTGTGACCCTGGAGCACAAAATCAGTCATAAGGGTCATTTTTTCGAAATTGAGATTTATGCATCATATGAAAGCTGAATAAATAATCTTTCCATTGATGTATGGTTTGTTAGGATAGGACAATATTTGGCTGAGATACAACTATTTGAAAATCTGGAGTCTGAGGGTGCAAAAAAATCTAAATATTGAGAAAATCATCTTTAAAGTTGTCCAAATGAAGTTCTTAGCAATGCATATTACTAATCAAAAATTAAGTTTTGATATATTTACGGTAGGAAACTTACAAAATATCTTCATGGAACATGATCTTTACTTAATATCCTAATGATTTTTGGCATAAAAGAAAAATCTATAATTTTGACCCATACAATGTATTGTTGGCTATTGCTACAAATATACCCCAGCGACTTAAGACTGCTTTTGTGCTGCAGGGACACATATAGGGTAATTTATAATCTGTAACGATTACATTTCCAAAGCAACCTTCCCAACACACTGTAGATGAAAATGCGGGACGTTTTCTCAACATGCCTCCGTACCTGCGAGGAGATCTGCGCCAGCAGGCTGCGGTTCAGATACAGACGCTCCTGCAGCTCCTCCGACCCCAAGAACTCCACCTGACCTCCGCCGCTGACCCCGTGACCCGGGGCCGCCACCGACAGGCTGACGTTCAGGATGCCGGCGCTGACGTCTGTGTCGTCCTGGATGTTGAAGACCACCACGTCTTCACGGGACGCCGAGAGAACGCCGGCCACGCCCTCCAGGAACTGAGCCAATAGGAGCGAGAGGAAGCGCTCCTGCGACGTGTCGGCCAATCGCAGCGTGATGCTGTTGGAGAGCATCTCGTCCGTGATGATGGTGACCTGCAGCAGACACTGAGCCGACACCGAGTGAACGCCATCTACAGGGACACAGAGGAACGAACAATCACTGCAACGATACTAACTTGAAGGAAAAGGTCACAGAAAGAATGTTTTTCTTACAATTACTCGGATTATTGTGATGGTTCACTTAAATGAATCGGTTCAGGTGGATGGTTCACTTAAGCGAATCCGTTCTTTCGCATGTTTCACGTAACTAAATCAATTCATTTGAATGGATTAATTGGTTTTTTGGGATAGTTCACTTATGTGAATCAGTTCATTTAGATGGTTCACTTCAGCGACTTAAGACTGCTTTTGTGCTGCAGGGACACATATAGGGTAATTTATAATCTGTAACGATTACATTTCCAAAGCAACCTTCCCAACACACTGTAGATGAAAATGCGGGACGTTTTCTCAACATGCCTCCGTACCTGCGAGGAGATCTGCGCCAGCAGGCTGCGGTTCAGATACAGACGCTCCTGCAGCTCCTCCGACCCCAAGAACTCCACCTGACCTCCGCCGCTGACCCCGTGACCCGGGGCCGCCACCGACAGGCTGACGTTCAGGATGCCGGCGCTGACGTCTGTGTCGTCCTGGATGTTGAAGACCACCACGTCTTCACGGGACGCCGAGAGAACGCCGGCCACGCCCTCCAGGAACTGAGCCAATAGGAGCGAGAGGAAGCGCTCCTGCGACGTGTCGGCCAATCGCAGCGTGATGCTGTTGGAGAGCATCTCGTCCGTGATGATGGTGACCTGCAGCAGACACTGAGCCGACACCGAGTGAACGCCATCTACAGGGACACAGAGGAACGAACAATCACTGCAACGATACTAACTTGAAGGAAAAGGTCACAGAAAGAATGTTTTTCTTACAATTACTCGGATTATTGTGATGGTTCACTTAAATGAATCGGTTCAGGTGGATGGTTCACTTAAGCGAATCCGTTCTTTCGCATGTTTCACGTAACTAAATCAATTCATTTGAATGGATTAATTGGTTTTTTGGGATAGTTCACTTATGTGAATCAGTTCATTTAGATGGTTCACTTACATGAATCGGCTCATTTGGAAGATTTACCAAAATGAACTGTGTTGAATGAATTGGTTCTTTTGGTTAGTTCACTTATACTCAGATGTAATCTGTCTAGGTGGTTGATCCAAAATGATCCAAAATCAATATTTGAGCAAGTACATAACCAGCCAGTGTTCAAAACTATCGCCTTACTTTAGCCCGATTCACAACGGTTAGCTTATAATAATGTTTTTAATAATTTGAGTGGTACGGGTAGGTTTTCACGGGAAATTCGAGCATGGCACTGCGTCATTACGTCACGTCTGTAAACATAAAGAAGTAGTCCCGGCTGCTAGGCTATCGCATGTGAGGATCCTGCAGGTGGCCGATCGTTTATAGCCTTTTCTCACAGCAGCTGGAATAATGAAATGTATCATTTTGATGGCGGATTGTAATCCAGAAAGGATTATGTGTTTATGAAACACATGTGAATGAAATTTAATTATATTCCAGTTTTAAATGTGCTTCTGATTACAGATAGCCTGGGATTACACAAGATTCGTATTTTAAAGAAAACCAGTTCGAAGGGAGCATAATTTGCTTTTTGGGTTAAAATAATTTCTTAATATGAAATTCGAAGAGTATAATAATAATAATAATAATTCATTACATTTATATAGCGCTTTTCTAGGCACTCAAAGCGC